GAGAGCAGACCTATGTTCTTGAAGGGAATTAATTGTGACGGAGAGTACGAGGACAAACATTGTATTGCCAACTTTCTTATCTACTCCATTAAGGAAATTGGTTATCAAAATGTGGTTCAAGTAATCACTGACAATGCGCCAGTGTGTAGAGCTACTGGATTACTTGTTGAGGCTAGATATCCCAATATCTTTTGAACATAATGTGTGGTTCACACTCTTCATCTTGCTTTGAAGAGCATATGTTCACCAAAACAAAATGATGATTGGTATGATAAATGTAGTTGGATTTTAGATACTACTGTTGATGTTGGGTTCATAAATTTTTTTATTGTGAACCATAATATGAGATTAGCTATGTATAAGGACCACTGCAAATTGAAGATGCTTTCCATTGCTGAAACAAGGTTTGCCTCTACACTTTTGATGATTAGAAGATTTAAGGAAGTAAATGAATGTCTAGAACAAATGGTGATTAGTCCAAATTGGTCTTTATATAAAGAGGATGATGTTGGCAAAGCAAAAGCAGTGAAGGAAAAGATATTGGATGAATACTTTTGGGATGAGATTTATTATATACTTTCCTTCACAGCTTCTATATATGATATGATTAGAATGGCTGACACGGATAAACCTTCTCTTTATTTGGTTTATTAGTGGTGGGATACCATAATGGAGAAGGTGAAGGCAGCTATCGATAGGAAAGAGCAAGGATTAAAATATCGGCTGATACATTGATATATTGGTATTTTCAATTGTTGACACCAATAATGGTGGGGGGGTAAGGCCATATCTTCCCTTGTATTGACGATATATCCCCGATAAATGTGATATCCTCGATGCTTCCTGATACCCATAACAAGTTTTGAAGGCAATTGAAGCAAGTTGAAACCCAAAAATAGCTAATCTTTGCTCAGAACCCTATAATTTATTAATATGAAGAATCTATGCACAGTCTATTGCCCCACATACCTCCAATCCATCTGAAGAGGACATGGCAATCTGTTTTGGATCTATGAGCATAGGAACTAGACCTAGTACTAATTCAAATGAATCTTATAATGGCTATGGTTATGTCATGTCTGATTATAGTGGAACTAATTATGAAGCTCAAGATGATGAAATAGATTATGGACAGTAGGGAGCTTAAGAAAGAACTATGTGCACCATGTTCAAATATGGCTTACAAACTGCTCGGGTTACATGACTTGGTATGACTATTGTATGAATCTAGATGGTTGTTCCTCATTGTTTGAACCTCATAGGAGTTCTTCATTTATGTAGATGGACAGTTATGTAAATTGTAATCCAATGTTTAAACAAACTATGGATTTATGCATGGTTTATTCATTCTAATCAACATTTTATTTTCAAACTTTTCATTAATGCGCATTACATACCACTTATATTTCATCATATATATATATATATATATATTATTAGTAAATTTTGAGTTTTATTTGTTTAATACATTCATTGATAATGTACATAACATCTATGAAAGTTTTACACCAAAATTATGTATTTCAATGCCTATATCTGTCATTTTTGTTGATTTTTTCCCGATACCTAATACGATAACGATATATCTCCCCCAAATATCCGTAAATTGGAAGCTCAATATTATTTGCATGGCCGATTTTTTAATCCTTGGGAAAGAGCACGAGCAACTGCATGAACAAAGCGACTTTTTTGATGTGGTGTATCACATACTTTTCATACTGTGATAATTTTATAAAATAATATCACACTTTACTTTTAGGTTTTATAGTCCATAATGGCTGCAAAAGGATCCTAACCGTATTCCTCCACACCAAGATGCCGATATTACAAGGGAAAGAAAAAAGTGTCTTGAGAAATACTTTTCAGATGACTGGGCTAGAAGAGATATCAATGTGGAGTATGCCTCTTTTTCAATGTGCTTAGATGACTTTGGAACTATTGATGCTATGAATGATAGGTTTCCCATGGAACCGATGGTGTGGTGGATTGTTCATGGAGCTTCAACACCAACTCTCCAATCCATAGCTTTGAAGCTACTTGGACAACCTTGTTCCTCCTCATGTTGTGAAAGAAATTGAAGTACATATAGTTTCATTCACACTTTAAGAAGAAACAAGTTAACACCCCAAAGAGCTGAAGACTTGGTATTTGTACATAATAATCTTCGTCTTTTATCAAGGAAGAGCCCAAGATACAAAGAATGTGTTACTCAAATGTGGAATTTTGGAGGAGATGTATTTGATAGCTTGGGTGAAGAAGGTGTTGAGATGCTTGAAATTGCTAACCTTTGTCTAGATGAACCATTATTGGAGGTTACTTTATTTACCAGGGAAGACATTACAAATAATGTAGTTGATTGAAACTTCTGTTTTTTTATTTTTCTAGAGTTTAAATTTGAATTTGATTGATGAATTTGAATTTTTATGTTAATTAAAATATGTTTTAAATTATATATATTATTATTATTATATTTTTAATATAAATTTTTAATTGCCGTATGCATGACGTATTGTATCCTAGTTTTCGGAGATTTGCCGTATCCCCGTGTTGTGTCGTATCGTATCGCCGTATCCGTATCCGTGCTTCTTAGGTTTCCACATTATGTTCAAAGTTGTTCGATGTCAATCTAACTAGTTCAAGTTTATCCTGGAAAATAATTTTCAACATATTTTATAATAAAATCAAAAGTTACCATGCTCGGGAATTAATGGAATGACAAGTTGATCACTCACCCATTTATTAATCGTATCTTAACGAGTTGATCCAAATTTGACTCATATTTTTTATTGTGTGGTTTTCTTGTCATTTATCAGGTTGTGTCCAGGGGCGAAGCCATTAAGGGACCAGTGCGGTCCCAGTCCCCCTGACCTTTTTTATTATTTATATGCAATATATATATATGGTAAAAAATAATGCTTATGTGTATTAATATATTTTATAATACCATTAATATTTCAACCGTCTCATTTTCATGTCTACTTCTTTTCTTAAATTTACTATATCTATTATTATTATTGTTTGTACCATATCTTACCACCCACTCACGTCGTGACACGTGGAACGCCCTCAAGCCAGGGACCAGCTCAACTGGGCCATACCAAATGTTCTCTCGGCACTCAGTACCGATTTAGGGGGTCGATAACGCAGCATCACTACCTCCGCCAACCTTCGGTATTGTCTACCGAGCGACCAACCATCACATCAATCCGATTCTGACAGATTACCTCAGAATTCCTGCCAGAGCCTGTCAGAATCACGTGTTGACCTCCAAAGACACTCCCATGAGTCCCACATCGAAACTAAGTGCTAAGAGCATCACAAATGCTCTCTATAAATAGAGCCCCTTGGCCCAGCCAAGTGGTAAGACTTTCTGACTTGATTAGTGCTTCCACTGTCAATAGAATCGCTCTTAGTCACTAACTTTGGCATCGGAGTACCTTCGGCAGGTACCACACCGGTATCCCCTCCTAAATTTGGATCCAGGCCCCACTCGGACCTTCAGACATCACGGAAGAAGGTTACTCCGGTCCTCAGCCATCAGCATACTTGTAAGTTAGTCTAAACTCTTATCTGTTCAGATTTAGCGCGAACAATTATAATATTTTTGTAACACAAATCCTTAAAATCAAAGACTTTTCCACCACAGAAACGCCACGATGCAGCTTGAAACGCCACGCGCGACATGCGATGAAGAGAATGCGCCTCACGCGGTAATTTTTTCCAGTGATTTCTCTCGACTACCACCTGTAACGACGACGACTCCACCAAAATTTGTTTTCAATGCTCTCCAGCGCTGCCGAGAGCCTTCACCGTCATCGTCATCAGATGGAGGCGGGAATGGCTGATCAAAACCCTCACGACGAGAATCAATTGAATCGAGGCGTTTGTCGATGGATGCGAACTTATCCTCAAGAAGACGCTGAATTGTTTCCAAAATGACTTGGTTCTTGGAATTAGAGGCTTCCAGCGCAGCAATACGAGCGTCCATTGTTAACGCACGAGTATGAACACGAGCACGGGTCATATACTAAAGGAACAGCTTAGAGTATCAATGGCCTGATACCAATGATAGGACTCTATCTTTCAACCTTAGATATTAACCAAGAACAAAGAGAACCCAAAGAATGTTTCTGTATATTTCTCAACCATCCGTACAATGGCTCCCCAAATTGGTAATAAAGCCACTATCAAGGATACAACAGTAATTGTAACAGATTCCTCATCTAACACTTGACACGTGACTAACTAACTATCCAGAACAGTTTTGGCTCCAACTCCTAATTCCTATCAGGTTTTGCCCCTTATGTTGTATTTTGCTTCTTAAACTCTTTCCTGTGGATTGATTGCTTAATAAATTGCTATAACTTATGACTTCCATGTTTTTTTTATGAATTATTTACATTTGTCCATGAAAGTGATGTGGTATTATTTTTCCAAAACAAAAAGTAATGTGGTATTGAATCATGACTTCTAAATACTTTGTTATAAAAATAGAAAAAGGCGTTTAAAGAATTTTAAATAAATTATTTGAATTTGACACGAAGACAATTCAACGAAATAATCATATGCAACAAATTATTTGAAATTCATTTATTTTCTTCCATATTCAAAACAAACATATGCAACGATGTAATTATTTCATAGTATCCATGGATGTTCTAGTTGATCCAATCTAATAAACTTGAGTGACGGATCCATTCAAATATGTAAAACTGGTTTTAAACTCCTTTAGCCTTAGCCTTAGCCTTCTTCCCCCCTCTCATGTGAGGGTTTAGGGCTTAGTTTCAATTGCACATGGCTAACAATAGGAGTGCCAAAATCTCTACATTTTAAGAAAATATGAGCCATGATCCATGACAATATGCAAATTTTATGCAGAAGACTTTCATAATTAAAGGTGAGAATTAATTTGACATTCTTCTCTTTTTCTTTTTTTTTCTTTTTTTTTGCCAAAGTTAGGAAGGGGAGGAGGGAAACACACACAAGGGTACCATGAGGACTTGAACTCAGGATCACTAAACATCATTCTCATTCGTCTGTCAGCTAAAAAGTTTATGACAAAGGAAGCCATGAGATCATGAATATCAGCCTTACCATTATTATTTTTTTACTGAATTAATCACCTAGTAAGCCACCTCCATGTAGCTGATGATTACACATGAATTATGAAAACTTGAAATTAAGCATACACAATCATCTGACAATTATTTTGGACATTTCAGGGCACTATAGACCTTTGAAATGAAGCAGTAGTAGTCACATTTTAGAAGTGCCATGTTGTATCATCTTTTCCTTCATATCCTTTGTACCACGTCTGATGCACTCGAATCCAAGTGAAACCATCTGAAACATCAGAACCCTGAAACCGAATAATATGATCTTAGAAAATGTTAAAGCACAACTGTTGGACACTAACCAATTACAATCTCCTATCTCACCTTTGAACTTATAACAGCAGTTGTCTTTGTTGCATGACGCTCCTCACCTACAATGATGATTAGAGTCAAAAGAGAAGCAGAAATTTGCAAGTATATGGAGTTAACCTAGCTGTTCATGATACGTCTAAATATATACAACGTTCTACTACAATGTCTATGGTCATCAAGTCAAATAATTATGATTATGATGTTAGTCCAGAAAAAAAGATGCAATGTTCTCTCTGCTGAAGTTTTCAAATGCAGGACATGAATAAGTTATAGCATGCAGCTTATTCCAGGGAGCTGTCTCTCATAGATATTGATTTTCTTAAATACAGCATGAAAAAGTATAAACATGTTGGATTGCACAGAGAGAGAGAGAGAGAGAGAGAGAGAGAGAGAGAGAGTCCAACCAGATAATTCCCACTTATCGAACTTCACTAGCCATGTATCTGAACCAACTTGTGTAGCTAACACCCCATCTACCCAAACCCGAAATTGTTTTCCCTGTTTGTCTCCATAGCTGCTTCTCAGACCATTTATGCACTCTGGAAGAGATTGCTCAACTCCAGAAGGATGGACAAATGTACCAGATGGACACTGACCCAAAGAAAACATAACTAAAGGTTAGTTACTGATGAGACGAACACAATTAAGGTGATTCAGATGCAAAAGGGGACCCCATGATGTGAAATAAAAGTACAAAATATCCAAGGTCTGTTTAATTCTACAAAAGTACACAGAAAGAAGTTAACTCAATCAAAGGATTTAATCCAGAATTAAACAATAATGTTTTGACAGCCATTTTTAGTCAATAGGAATCAAATGTATTACCCTGTCACTAAATAATTTCACAGGTTCTTTAGTAACTTCAGGGAATGATTTCACTTTGTAAAGATGTTATAGAGTGGACACTGCAAATACATTCAAGTAAATTGAGCAAGTTCACACTGACATGCAGATAAAACACTATATGCATTGTCCAAACATACGACTATTAATTTCATTTTTTCCAGTTCACAATCTTCATGTATGTTGGCGTCTTACAAAACAAGCTACCACATGCCAATAGTTATAATCATGTCGCATGCATGCTCAATAGATCCTAAAAACTTCATATCGTACAAACTCAACTCCCTTGCTATATCCGATCACAGTAAGACTAAGTTTTATTTGTATAGAAAATGAGTGTTACAATCTGGGCGGGAGTCGTAGATTTATTATGTAGTTGGAAAAAGTAACTGAAAACAAAGGGAAAATAGATATGACTTCTAAGTTGATGCCTTCTATGCCATCGACAAAATGAGAAGTGACTACTTTTTCTTTCCCGCCTAAAAATTTACTAGAGAAACCACCCCACAATATGTAATTGCATTAACTACAAATTACCAGAAACAAATTTAGACGTATTTCCAAAAGATGTTGAAATCTGACATGGAAAGGATAATAGTTCTTCTGACAGTGTAAAACTATACAAGGTGTAATATCATAAAACTCAGTATTCAGAAGAAAGGAAGATAATAAACATACACAATCGGCTTTCAGACTTGCCAAATAGACCGCTGAATTCTCAACTTCTGCACGTCTCCATTTCTCATAGAATAAGAAAAATTTCACTACTTCGTGACCAGGATTCGGATTTTCCAGCTTATAGTCAGAAAAATCAGCAATATCTCTTGGGGGCAAATTTGGACCTAGTTTAAAGTGCCCAATGGCTTGTATGATTCCAGCAGCACATCTCTCTGTTGCATGAATTATCCTTGTGTTACCCTTAGCATTTTCAGCATGCCAATGCAACAATTCTTCTTGGGCATTGCTAACCTGCATGATCAGCAATAACAAAAACAATGCCAATTAAGGAGGAAAACCTCATTTCACATTGAGAAAATAGGGTTTAAATATGAAGAGAAACAAGGTGAAATACAAACCATGACACCATATACTTCTGGAATGCTAAAAAGCTCAGCATCATTTCCAGAGTCACCACAAACAAGAGTGTTGACAGGTGGACTTCCCTCAGTCTTAAATTTCTTAAGCAGATATGCAAGAGCTTGTCCTTTGCCAGCACCTTGTGGTAATATATCCAAATCCATTCCTCCACTATAGATTATCTTAACATCCAACTGACCAAAGATGAAGCAAAAACTTAAGTTCAATATCAAAAACAACAATACCCTATGATATTCTGAAAGCAATGACTTTTCTTTAGGCAAAGTTTACACAATTCTCAACGCAGTCTGCAGTATATATGAAAACCGCTGTCTAAGAGTTATATCTTACCCCATGCTTTTCATAAACCTCTGAAAGAGCCTTTGTTACTGCCTGAGCCTTGTCTTTCTCAACATAAAAGCTAACCTTGTGTGGCCGTTGCTCTGTTTCTGCCTGCAGTCCTCATAAAGTTCAAGACTTGAGAAATTTCAAAAACTAGTTTCTTTATTTACATATCACTTGAGTTTATTTGCATCACACAACCAGAGACACTAATCAATTGCCATAGCCTACAAAATGTACCTGAAGTTTAAGTTCAGAAAATTTGCTGGCTTCCTCTTTGACTACGTTCCTATCCCATTTTTTATTCAGAACCTCAACCCAGCCATTATCAGGAACCATTGAGTTACCATATGTTATCTCAGTTCCCACAGACATTATTGTTATATCTGGAGTTAACATGGGTTTCTCTTTCCTCAATTCTTTGTAAAGTGTTGGTGACCTACCAGTTGAAAAAACTAGCAGAGAATCGTGACGGTAATTTGCTTCCCACAACGAGTTGAATCTGAGCAGAGAAAGGTTCTCAGTGTCATGATGATCAACCTGCAACGAAAGCATTTCTACACTAAAATCACTGCAGAAATGGAATGAATGAAATGACACCCCAATGACATAATCAGTAAGAGAACCTACCATTGTGTGATCAAGATCTGAAACTATCATTAGACGGGCAGGAGCTTTTAGCCGATCCATGATTATCCTAATTCCAACGCAAACCTGCACTGAATTTAAAAATATTCAAATAAAAAATGCAAACATCTGTAAAACACCTGTGATGACAATTTTCTATTAAGATGATCCTGAATCAAATCCAAAATTTTTAATTAAAACGAAAAAAGTACGGATTTTGTATTAAATTCTTTAGCCAACATATATGAAGATAGCCAAAACATTTAATTGGGAAAGTTCAATCCGAGTCTTTACGCATTCTGAGGTCTCATGCATCCCAAAAAAAAAAACTCAAATTTCCGTGCTTGATTTCAGTTGCTAGGCTATTTTCCCAGCAACCAAACAGTTACACAGAAATTGAAGCTAAACATAATGAATCAACAACGATGCGATAAACAATTAACAGGAATTTCAGAAATGACCTGGAAACTTGAGAGCGAAACTTGGATTTGAAGTGATTGGAAAATGAAGGTTGAGATTAGGTTTCTGAGGAATTGGAGGAACGAGAGAGAGTGATGAAGTGAGTGATTGGAAGGTATACATAAAACGAGCGAAGCGATAATGGGAAGCGAATTGGATCCAAATTCGTTGGCGCTTCTTTTGTGGGCTGTGAGACAACAAAACAGAGGTTATAGATTTGGGAACGTTATGGACACGTGTCAACTTACGGGGGTAGGGTGGACATGTGTTGTGTGTGTGGGGTCCATTTTGGACGGTGATGATGGGGTTGGGTAAGACGTGGACGGTCGTGATGGCCGAGGGAGGGGAGAGCCCGGAGGTTACCCGACTGTGGGACCCGCTATGACATGATGGTTTCCCGTTGATTCGGTAGGCCTGCGCGCATACACGCGAAGAAAGGAACCCCAAAAAGGCCAAAATAGAATTAGTTCTTTTGTTTCTTCTTATATTATTTGAAGGGTTTGCAATTGATGAAGTAAATAATTTTAGGATAGAAAGTAGCATATTCTTATCATATTCCCCACCCATATACTCTCATCTATTTTTAAAAGATAGTTTCTCATGCAATGTAAGAGGTTGCTAGGGTACATAATCTTCTTTCAATTTGTAGGAGGGTTTGAAAGATTATTTTAGCTCAAATAGTTGTTATGAGGTTTCGAGTTCGGTTCTCCTTCTTTCAACATTACTTCTAAGTAGATACATAGCGAATTAGGTTTAAACTTTTATTAAGCTTGGTTACATATGTGTTTGTTAGGGCATATTTGTTGGGTCATTTAGTGGAGAGTGATTCAAGCCTTTGTGTACTCTCGGCACCGTTTTTGTTTGTATTTTCTGACTTAAATTGTTTTACTTTTTACTTAATTTTAAGAATAATTAAAAGTGTTTTTAAGGCCTAAACACATATAAAGAGGCCCCATGCAGTTATAACATAAGAAGAATCCAACAATTCATTAACCCACATGTCACAATTAAATATCAAAATGCCAAATTAATTCGTTAATCAAATCAAATGAAAAGAGTTTAAGAAAATTTTAACCAATTTAGTTGGTTTTTGGTTTTCCATCTTGAGTGTGCTAAACAATGATATTATAAGATGAAATTGTATTTTAGTAATTATTGTAATGATTTGTGTGAGTATTTAAAAAAAAAAAACATAAATGTAATGATAAATGTGAGTATTTAATTATTGTAATGATTTGATATGAAAAAAAATTGGTTAAAACAAGTACTATTTTATTTTTATTTTTTACTTTAAAAATAGAGCCTTGGAAATATTTGTTGGTGTGTTCTTAAAGAAATAATGACTCACCACTACCCAAAATAAAATTTAAAAAAAAAAAAAAAAAAAGATATAGTGACTCACCCACCAAATTCCAAATTTCTAACGGCCAAGTTCCAACAAAACGCAAAATAAACTCGACCAACCCACTTCTTAACCAAAAAACAAAACCTCTTGTCCCATCTTCTTGAGGAATCCTGAAGTGGAATCACAACTTACACACAATTGAATTATACTTAACAAAACCAGAAAAAGAAAAAAAAAGTTATAGCAATAGCTCCATCACCTTCTCTCCCACCAAAGCTTTTGCTACCAAATCAAAAATGTCCTTGCCCCACTCACTTTCCATGCCTGAGCTTGGATTTACTTCTTCCCCTTCCCCTGCTTCCATGCACATTTCTCAGTTTCCCAGTCACCACCACTGCAGCACCCAATTGGGTACTTCAAGACCCAGAATTCAAGAGCACAGGTTTCAGCTTATTCTTAGCCAGCATGGCTCTCAGGGCAATGGTCATAATCTCTGTGAATTGAAATTGGGGTCTCAGAATTCTCAGCTCCTTGGTCATGGATATAGTGTGCAGTTGGGTACAATCAGACCCAGAAGCCAAAAACATAGAAAACTCTCTTTTGGGCATGGTAGAACCTCATTTCTCAGTGATTACAAGCTCAGTGGATTGAATTTAGGGTTTTATAAGACCAGAGACCTGGACACTCTGAGACCCAAAGTTCCCAAAAGCAAATTGATTCAAGGGTGTCATTTGGGAGGTTCAAATTTCAGTAAATGCAGACATGGTAGTGTGCAATTAGGGTTGTCTGAGGTGAATTCCAGGAATTTGAACTTTGTGATGAGGTCAAGTTCAACATTGAGTGTAGATAAAGTGGTGGAGAGAGAGGGAGGTGGTGGTAAGAGCTACTATGACGCCATTGTTATAGGGTCAGGAATTGGAGGGTTGGTTGCAGCTACCCAGTTGGCTGTGAAGGGTGCCAGGGTTTTAGTGTTAGAGAAGTATGTGATTCCTGGTGGGAGCTCTGGGTATTATGAGAGAGATGGTTATACTTTTGATGTTGGATCTTCTGTGATGTTCGGTTTCAGCGATAAGGTAAGTTTTATTTAAAGTTTTGATTTTTCTTTACGTATACTGCGCTTTAGTTGTTAGCTATATGAGTTGAGTTGAAAATGGTTGAATAGAACTTGATTATTCCACAAGTTAAGACTAGTCTATTAAAGCTGAAATGCTTAGCTCTGCTAATAATTGAGGGCACCTTTGATAACCATTCGTTTTTAGGTTTTAGTTTTCTTTTCTTTTATGTTAGAGATAGAGATAGAGGGGAAATGCATGGGAGGAATGAGATATGAAGAAGGGTGGAGGAAGGATAATGGGAGGGATGTGGAATGGTACTCAAAATGAAAACTAAAAACCAAAAACTGAAGCAAATTTATGAAAGTTTTGTGACTGTAGAATATGCATTGTTATTATAGGTGGCTCTTTCTTGAGTTATTGAAAGTTATTTTTCACTATGATTTTGACTTTCTGTTATAGTTGTTTAATGTCTGTGGTGGAAGTTTGAATCATGAAGAGCATTGTATCCTACAAATATGATGTTGAGATTTGTGATCCGGAGTGTAATAGACTCATGGAAACTCATTGGAGGTTGGAAGTTTGAATCATGAGGAGCATTGTATCCTGATAGAAACTTGTAAGCATGAGAATGTAATAGCAGACATTCTTCGTTGCACTATTTCACATAGACATGCTACAGTTACTAAACAAGTGACATATAAAGCTTAAAGATCATCGACTCTGGGGGGAAAAGGAGAGATTTGTCCAAGGGCAGAGGCATGTCTGAATGGGCAAAGTAGTCAATCGTCTGAGACCATTTAAATTTACAGCAAGTTCAGTGTGCAAATATGTAAAATCTCATGCATTTTGTATATTTTGATATAATTCGAGATTTTCCTTTTTGGTAATGACATTGGGTTCTAATTTTCTAATTCATGATTTATATCTTGTTGGCGTTTTGTGCTGGATAAAGAACTCTTTTTTGCCTTAAAGTGCCGAATATGTCATGTTTCAGTGCAGCCTGCATTTTTTCAGTCTTGATATTTTCACATAAAATGTGGTCACTGAATTGGTAATCTTCTTTGACTCTTTACTGCACAAATATGGGCAGGGCAATCTAAATTTGATAACCCAAGCATTGGCAGCAGTGGGTTGTGAGATGCAGGTGATACCTGATCCGACTACTGTCCATTATCATCTCCCCAATAATCTTTCTGTCCTAGTGCACAGAGAATACAGTGAATTTATCACAGAACTTACTGGTAAATTTCCCCATGAAAAGGAAGGGATTCTCAAATTCTATGGTGAATGTTGGAAGGTCTGTTCTTTTTCATTTTTTCTTTAATTCATCTTTTCTTTTGCAAGTTGACTGGGAGTTCCTTTGGGGTTTTGCCAGTACTTGTAATTCAAAACTTACATTAATAGATTGTGTACAAATGGATAGATTTTCAATGCCTTGAACTCATTGGAACTGAAGTCACTTGAGGAGCCAATCTACCTTTTTGGACAGTTCTTTCAGAAGCCTCTTGAATGCTTGACACTTGGTAAGCATTAGTATTTCTGTTTTTTTTTTTTTTTTTTTTAATAACTGCAATGAATCTTCAATCCTTAATTCGAGCCATCATGCAAGATTTAATTTAGTCTTTGGTTGGTTTTTCCAGCTTTAGCCAGGATATTTTGGGCAATAATATACTAATGAATCTTTGATGTCCGTAGGATTAAATCATTGGTTAAAATAGTTGAAACAGGGAAAAGATGCATCCCTAATTGACCTGATGGTTGTAGTTATATAATGAGATCTATTGATGTTCAAAAGACATTTTACCACCAATTACAATGCTTTTTCTCCACGAAATGGGGATGTAGAACAATTGATTGCAGCACTGTTGTCATTGATACAGTTGACAATATTGACACCTTCAAAATTTTGAGATATCAGTCCCCAATAAAATCTGGTGCAGTTACTGGAATAGATTAAAAAATGATCATGTTAGTCTTCTTGGATATCTTTATTTAATCTGTATCAATAGTCTTCTTGAATTTGGATTATTCATGGTGACGATTAATGCACTTTTGGTCCCGGCCATAATATGTTATCTGTGTTCCCAAATGCTTACATGATGTGTTATCTATTGCAGCCTACTATTTGCCTCAAAATGCTGGGGACATAGCTCGTAAATACATTCAGGATCCCCAGCTGTTGTCTTTCATAGATGCGGAGGTGGGGTGAAGTTGTTTCATCCTATTGAAGTTCTTATTTATGATTTTATATATTTATTCCTTTGCAACTTTGTTGGTCCACAAATGGTCTTCCCCTCCATCTCATAAAGATATTTTACGTTTATATCTACAGTGTTTTATTGTGAGTACAGTCAAGGCTTTGCAGACACCAATGATCAATGCAAGCATGGTAAGCTTTTCAAATAGCTTTTTGGGCCCTATCTTGTGTATTTTTCTCTTGTTTCCTCATTCATGTTTTCAACAGGTAATGTGTGACAGGCATTATGGTGGGATTAACTACCCTGTTGGTGGTGTTGGCGGAATTGCAAAGTCCTTAGCAAAAGGTCTAGTAGACCAGGGCAGTGAGATACTTTACAAGGCCAATGTTACTAGCATCATAGTTGATCAGGGCAGAGCTGTGAGTTCAAATTTAATCTTGGATATGTGATGCAAAGATATCTACTCTGTCTTGCTGTAGTCATTGTATTTGTCAAAAGATGATTTTATTTTAGTCGGCATGTAGGTTGGAGTAAGGCTTTCAGATGGGAGGGAATTCTTTGCCAAAACCATAATATCAAATGCTACTAGATGGAATACCTTTGGTTAGTGTGGCCAGGAGTTCGAGAATTTATTGGACTGACTTTGGGATGATCAATATTTGCTGCTGATTGTTGTGCTGTTATATTTACTTATTTCAATGGAAATCTAATTACCTTCAACTTTATTTTAGGAACACTGCTAAAAGGAGACGATGTTCCAAAAGAAGAGGAAAATTTTCAGAAAGTTTATGTTAAGGCCCCATCTTTTCTTTCCATTCACATGGGGGTGAAAGCTGAAGTTCTGCCACCAGATACGGATTGCCACCATTTTGTGCTTGAGGTGCTTTGTTTTTCTTTTTCAGTACCATCATTTGCATGGAAACTTTTTGGGGCGTTGAAATTGGAATATTCTCACTCATCTGTTCGTCATTGTCTTCCATCTTGTTTTCAGGATGATTGGACAAGGTTAGAAGAGCCTTATGGAAGTATCTTTTTAAGCATTCCAACTGTCCTTGACCCATCGTTGGCTCCAGAAGGACGCCACATACTTCACATATTTACAACCTCTTCCATAGAGGACTGGGAGGTAACTATCTGTTATCAAAGTTAAAATGAATAGTTGACATTGATTATTCCCCCCACTCTCTTCCCTAACCCCTCCTAGTACATATCTATGAAATTTGAATAACTAGTGAGGTGGCGGTTTCTATATAGGGACTCTCTCGAAAGGACTACGAAGCAAAGAAAGAGATTGTAGCAGATGAAATCATTGGCAGATTAGAGGATAAACTATTTCCAGGGCTAAAATCATCCATCGTTTTTAAGGAGGTAATACCATACCCTCTCACGACTAATCTATACTGAAGCATTTGAGATATATGAAATAGTGTTAAGATTGCGAATCTTGTGACATTGAAAGGAGAGAAACGGAGAGAGAAAGATGAGATGAAATTAGGAAAAGTTTGTGAATCTTGTACAAAATATAAATAATAACAAAGGCTTATGATTCCATTCTCTCTCAAGTTGGTGAAAATAGATTACGCCCCTTGTTGTGGGAGGCAGCAAACCATCATAAATCTTATGTTCACAACCTATGAACAAAAAAATTTAAATAATGGAAGTGGATTCAATTGTTATTGAGGTTTTAACGAGTTAAAATTCCTTTGTGAGAGTGATGGTATCTTAACAAATGTCCCTCTGGAGGCATTTGCTTTTTAGGCTCTCTGCTCTCTCTATGAGCTTAATGAAGCTGATTTTGCCCCCTTCTATGGGTGAATACTTTGGTATTCCACAAATTTTAGTTTACAGTATTTGATATGTCCATTAAAAGTTTCTCCAATCATGGCAGGTGGGAACACCAAAGACACACAGGCGGTACCTGGCTCGTGACAAGGGTACTTATGGACCAATACCACGTAGAACTCCTAAGGGCTTATTGGGAATGCCATTCAATACAACAGTAAGTTCAATTATAATATCAATGGATGTTTCAATATTTATCGACTTTAAGCATACTGAAGAAGGGGAGCTATGCAATGATGAATAATGCAGGCCATAGAGGGTCTTTACTGTGTTGGTGATAGCTGCTTTCCGGGACAAGGAGTTATAGCTGTATCCTTCTCAGGAGTAATGTGTGCTCATCGAGTAGCTGCTGATATAGGTATTCTAGAGGCTTAATTCAATGTGAAATCATAGGGGTTGGCTATTTAGACCCCTTATTTGCTCAATTTAAATTTTTATAAGTTTACCCTTGAAGAGAAAATTAAAATAATTCCCTCTCCCTTTCCCACCCCTTTCCTCACCACCTCACCCTTTCCCTCTCCTTCCCTTCAAGCATGGGCAGCTCCTCTTTCTGAACCATGAGGCATCATGGCACCTCCTCTCTAGTTAAAGGCTGCCAAGTTTGGTCCTAATGGGCAGTGTTTAATTTTCAGTAAAGAAAATGAAAGAGTAAATAAGTAAAAGATGTGGAATAAAAATATTGATAAAGGATAATGGGATTGAAGAGCTAATAAAGGGTGTTCAAATAGAGCCATCCATAACTGACCTTAACGTTGAGAACTCTTTTGAGCTTTTTTGTTGACTTATTTATTTCTTTTCCTTATTTTTTATTTCTTTCACAGGGCTTGAGAAGAAGTCCCCAGTATTGGATGCTGCCCTCCTTCGACTTCTTGGATGGTTAAGGACATTAGCATGAGATTTCATACAGGAAAATATGAAAAGCAACTTGACAATTTGGCTGGAGAAGCATTATCTTCCTAATTACATAGCACGGTAGCAGTGACAGACGGCAGGTTGGAGTACGTTGATAGACACCGAGTAGGTACTTATGGCTCTAGCCATTTTATCAAATTTGGCTCCGTTGAATTGCCTTCTGTAGTTTTTATTTCATAGGATAAAGTTTATACATGAGCTCTAGAGAAATGTACAGTGGTCTCCATGCTGTATAAAGTACAACCTTTTCCTGCTAAGTCTGTTAGCTGATTGTTTTATTTTCTTTCTCAAGAAATGCATATGTATAAGTGGCAACTCCATAAACTGATTTTCATTAAATCAATCTATAGAAATTTTGCCTTCATTTTGGACCCTTGCCATCTAGAACTGAATTTGAAAAGGTTCATTCATGAATTCAGTAAAGTCGTAGGGAGTTCTGGTCGATTACAATTGACATACGAAGTATAGATTTCGATCTGAATTTCTTTCGTTACCTGGAGTTAAAATTTTCCAAAAACAACCCTAAATTTCTCCATATAGAGAATTAGCTACACAACAACTAACCGGTCTATCTGGCTTTTTACCTGCTACATGACATAAATTTTACGAAGTTCTTAGAATGAAGAATGCATAAGTTCCAGATCAGTGATCCTCAGCTAGTTTTCCTCAGTTAATTTGAAACTCATGCTTCAAAAGATAGCTTCTAATAGATTCTAGGCTTCCTTGAAGACTTCATCGCATTTAAGCTCCACCTTGAAGCTTCATTCTCCGCAAAGAAAGGTATGCCAAGAGCCGGTATCCAAATACCATGGCTACAAGGGCACCGACTCCTGTTAAACCACAGTCTGTGCTCAACCCATTAATGGCTGGTGTGATTGCTTCGTACTGCACCTTAAGAAGAAGCCTGTATGTGTGGTAGTTGAAAGACATATACCGAATCCAAGATATGAACACCGGAACTTTCTGCAACATTTTAAACAACATGTTGTGTTAGATATATATATCTTCCATCCTATAGGAAATGTGAAATCTTTTAGGAAATAAATTTGTAGACAAAATATAAATTTTCAGTCAAGGATTGCATGCTTACTTTCACAAAGAACCCCCCAGCCAGCATGAATGTCATGACAGTTACAGAAGCTAGAGTTGTGGCCCTCTTTAAGTCCATCAATGTAGCTCCAATAGCTAGTCCAAGTCCCTGTTTTGCATCCATTTAAGTAGTTAAATATGGTATTTTTCACCTAGTGTTTTGGAAGAGGTCAAATATTCAGCTTTAAAAAAATAAATTAAAATATCAACCAGTAGCTGGAAAGAGGCATACCTGCGCTGCCACAATGCAGAGGAAAACTATAAGCATGCTTAGGAAGAAAGTTTCAGCACTCAGCCTTAAGCCTGCCATGAAATATACAATGACGAGGAACAGTACCGGTAGCAATAGGTCTAGTGGGAGATCACTTGTAGTCCTAGCAACAAAATATGCACTTAATCTGTACATGTCAGCTGCTCGTTCCTTCGTCAGCATGGCCCTTTCTTGAGGAAATGTAAAAATTGCTGTGAAGACAGGAAAAAATCCCCAGAAGACAGCAATGAAGAAAAGCAATCCTGCCTGCAATGAAGAAAAATAAACAAATAAATAACAGATGTTGAAAATCCTGGTTGCTTCTTAATTTGTTTCCTTTTGAGACCTTTCCCCCAAAGACCTTTCTGTGATATTTGTAACTTTTATTGCTTTGACAAGGCAAAGATTTACCTGATCCTCCAGGCCTTTGGGATTGTTGCTATCTGACTGCCACCAGAGCAAGCCCAGAATAACTGCAGTGGAGAGGACTTGGGTAATTCTCAACCAGCTGAAGTAGTCATGCCTTCGTTCTTTAATTCCTCTACAAAACAAGATGGAAAATTGTTCCCACCAGCTTCCTCCCCATTCTCGTTTTGAAATCGACACCTTCAACTTCAGTTGATCGTCAAGGGGAAGAGGAACCATAATCTTCTTCTTCTCCTCGTCTGCAACTCGTGTCTCATAGGCCTCCACAAGATACTGCTTTCAAATAGACACATCAGATTAGTGCGTTTGATGATGCAGTCCGAAATCAGACAGATTTTTCTTGTAGGACAAGTAAGTTGCAATGATCAATAAGTATTATGTATCCCTATCTATATTTGTGAACTTTATACTTGGGAGTAATTTTTCCTGACATGTGCACATTGTTAATATATATATATGTGGAAGATAATTTTCTCTTTTGAGCGCCTCTCTTAGAAATTTAAGAAATCAATCAGAACATACCTCATGCACAACGGCTGGAGATGGCTTTCCATTTCTTGTATCAGCTGCTTCTGAATTTCCCATTTGCACTTTATCCTCTAACTCTGATGGTATAGAAACGTCGTTTATGTTTCCGTTTGCAAGGTCTAGCAAGAACTCTGCCGGGTTCATGGCAATAAGTGGGGAACATCCTATGGATGAGAAATAAACCATTGCTTCTGATGCTTTCCCAAAGTAAAGCAAGCTTCCCTTCCCAAGAAGGATCAACTTGTCAAATTTGTGGAAGAGTCTACTTGATGGCTGGTGGATTGTTGTCACCACTGTTTTGCCAGCCTGCCATATAAAGAACCTTACTACTTATTTCTCAATTCAATTATTAGCTGCTTCTGAAAAATATACTAATAAAGTTAAGGTTTAACTTTTTCGAATGAAAATAATTTGTATTTCCTCAGAATTTGGAGAAACTAAAAGCAGCTCTGCATTGCCTTGCAATTATAAAACTAATTGCCATACCGAATCTGTCTGTCAAAACTGAAGTACATACCTCTGCTATGTCTTGTAACATCTGAACGATTCTAAGTGCAGTCGTAGAATCCAAGCCAGAGGTTGGTTCATCCAGAAACAGAAGGGAAGGGTTAATTATGATCTCATTGCCAATGCAAACTCTCTTCCTCTCTCCACCTGATACCCCACGGACAAAGGAGCCACCAATCATAGTGTCTTGGCACCTGTGCGTATCAAGAATTTTTGCTAGTTAGCTTTTTAATCTAGTAAGATCAGTGATGACAATGCTTATAAGTCCAATGGCAGCAGTAGAGGGAGAACTTACCTTTCTAAGCCTAGCTCATAAATGACATCTAGAGCTCGTTTTTCCTTCTGCTCTTTTGTCAATGTCTTTGACAGCCGAAGGAGGGCTGCATATGTTAATGTCTCTTTCACAGTAAGGTGAGGAAATAGAACATCGTCCTGCGTAACGAACCCTATCCTGCCATACACTTCGTGTCAATTTTGTTGCACACATGCATAAATATATATTATACTTTGGAATCTGAAGGAGAAAAGAAACCATGTACTCTGCTTCAATCAAGCAGATTTTTAATGGAAAACCATTTTGATTGCCAAAAGAATAACTAAAGAAGCCTCCATGCCTATAATCTGTGTCCATATAATATTTTTTATTACAGTGATAAAATTTTAGTTTCAGATTCGTACCTGCTTTTTAGGAACTTGGAGTATGTCTGGTCATTGTAAGTAATGGAACCAGTGACATTGGCTTGAACTGCCCTGCCTCCAAGCAGATTAAGGAGGCTGGTCTTTCCACTTCCAGATGGTCCCATCAGGGCCAAAACTTCTCCCGGGTGCACCGAACCGGTAATCCCATTCAAGATATCCTTCTCTTCAGTTGTCCTCATTCCTTTGAGAATGATCTTGTATGTCACATCTGTGAACTGAAACAAAACCAGAACAAGATTTAGCCTTCATCAGTAATTAAGACTGTCAACTAGTTACTTGCAGTAATATATCAAACTTATTGCAACGTAGAAAGATAGTTAATTACTTTTCAGGAAGAATATGTCAGACCGTCCATACCCTTCTTTCCTTTGATGCTTTTGGTGTTCCTATTTGGGATTGTTTAAGCCCTTACTGAAGGCTAAAAACCTGTGTGGCTCAATATGCAGGTGTCTAAACTATTTCTGTAGGGTTTAAAACCCATGATTTCTTTACTTCTTCTAGGACCCTAAAAGCAGTTTATGTGAGTTTATTTATATGAACGTGTAGCACCTTTTGGCTGGAAAGAAGGGCAAGTCTTGTACATACAAGTCATATAGAATGAAACTCTGTACAAGACTGAACCTGACCATGCTTATATTGCTAGCCATGTTCTATGGATCGCCCTTGATGTGTGTTAGATCATTCTCCACCCTTGCCTGTCCAAATAGATAGTAAGTATCACATCAATTCGAGCACTACGATTTGAACATGTACAGGTTTTGAACGTACACCGGTAGATGCAGTTGCAAATTGCAATGGTTTTCCGGAAGAGGGAAAGGAAAGCATACATGGCAAACATGGCAACTTGTAACTTGTATAACTTGTGTAACTACTTGGAAGGGAGAAAAACCTTGAGATAAATTGGCAGAGTAGGTTCTGTTTGGAATTTCGGCTTCCTGGTGGTGCCAGCTTCAAGATCTTCTGCTGCATTATGCAATGAATCATACATAGTTCTCTGTTATTATATTATTATTTCACTATTAGCAGCTGAAAATTAAGGCATTCAAAGAAAAAGAAAAAAATACTATGCCTATGCTTATGCAGCAAGAATTTTTTTATGCTTGAAAGCATGTCTTTTTCTAATGGATTTTTCAAAATCAAGTAAATATTAATAGGGAGCAAAAACAACTTTTTATTTAGCAATCTATCCAACCTTCATTTATGAACTCATATTCAAGAACAACCCTCAAACTATAGTTTAAGGTCAAACTGATTAAGACATGGTATTTAATTAGATGTTTTTTTTCCTTCGACATGCATGTCAAATTTCTCCATATTAAATTTGATGCAATCTCACATCAGACCAAAAGGCTAATTTAGGTAGACTCTGGTCCACTGTTGAAAAATAAAATGTAAACTTTTGATGACCACCAATCAGGCCCAATTAACCCAGCACAAATGGGATTTGGAGAGGACCTAATCTCTCATTTAACCATTTGGGACCCACAATTGCTCTCAAAATGGGGACCCACAGACGACTAGTTTTCTTCTGGTGGTCGCATTTGTCAAAGAATGCACAGTGTGGTGATTACGAGACTGATGTGAAGCAAAACATCAAAGGTTAAAAAAAAGCCATGGGAGAGAAATATGAAAAAACCAGACATGAAAAATATGGCCAAGAAAAAAGAAGGGAATGCTAGTGTTCTAAATTTTATGGTATGGTAGGTGGAAAAATTAAACATGCCTCACCGCTACACCACTGTTCTCTTCTGGT